TTGCTAGAAAGCAGAATGTGTTATTAAGCCCCAGGAATCTGCAAGAGTGCTGTCTCTTTAAATATCCAAAATAGTCAAGCCACTTTTTAAACCTTCAAAATGGCGGTGTCCTCCGGACCGGCAGAAGTCCACAGCTCAGCCCACCTTTCTCTTCACCTTCTCCGTTTGTTCCCCAGCCACTATGCACCATCTTCTGTGCAGTCCCTGCCTAGCAGGGTGATTTTTGGGTTAATTCTTAAGTCCTACCACCACAGGGGGAGCTCTGGTAGCATAGTGGCTAAGGCACTTTACTGCTAACCAGAAGGCTGGCGATTCAAACCTACCAGCCACTCCTCGGAAGGAAGTTGGGGCAATCTATTTCCGTAGTGATACTGCCTCGGAAACCCAAGGAGGGGTCGCTAGGAGTCACGTCTGACTCAACGACACATAACAACAACAACTACCACCACAGGAATCTGTGAGAGCGCTGTCTCTTTAAATATCCAAAATAGTCAAGCCACTTTTTAAACCTACAGAATGGCGGCACCCTCCGGACCAGCAAAAGTCCACAGCTCAACCCACCTTTCTCTTCACCTTCTCTGTTTGTTCCCCAGCCACCGTGCACAGTCCGTGCAGTCCCTGGCTAGCAGGGTGATTTTTAGGTCCTACCGCTGCTCGGGAGTGTCCAAGCCATCTGTGCCGTCAGGGTTGCTCAGGTCGCTGCCAGACCACAGCTCCGTATGTCTCCTTTTTTGGTATTTCCACGCAAATTCTTATGCTAGTTGGGGTATAGTCCACTTCTGTAACCTTCCTTTCAAAGCTCAGGGGTCCAAGATTATCTTCTGTGTCTGTGTAAATTGGTTTCCCTTTTCTTTGTTGAAGAGGGTCTGTGCAGTCCTTCTGCCTAGTCCACCATCTTGCGGAAACTCCCTAAATGTAATTTTAAATAGTGTTTCTTTCCACTATTGAATTTCAGAAATTTTGAAACTTACACAGAAATTACAACAACATTGAAACAAACCAAAACCAAACCAAACTCACTGCCATCAAGTTGATTCCAACTGATAGCGACCCCTTTGGGTTTCTGAGGCAGTAAATCTTTATGGAAGTAGACTTCCTTCCATGGAGTGGCTGATTGGTTTGAACCACCAACCTTCTGGTTAGCAGTCAAATGCCTTAAGCATTATGCCACCAGAGCTTCTTCATTGAAACAAAGATACCCATATGTTCTTTGCCCAGGTTCACCAGTTGTTAGCATTTTCTGTTTGCTTTATCTCTGTGTCTATATATATACACACATACATGCATACATATGTACATATATGTATATGCATATGCACATACATACATAGATACATACATAATGGAGTTCTTGGGTGGTACAAATGGTTAAGTGCTCAACGACACTTAACCACTTTGTACACCTTGGGGGTTTGAGCCCACTCAGAGGTGCCTCTGAAGATAGGCCTGATGATCTGCTTCTGTAAGGCTCAGTCTTGGAAATCGTATCAAACAGTGCTACTCTGCACACATAGCGATGTTATGAATTGAAGTAGACTCGATAACAGCAGCAGCAACAACATCGCACTGGAGTTCAGTGGCAGATTGGTTAAAGCCATATGTATGTTGCCTTTGCAGAGCTGATAGAGAAGCAGCTATTTTCTTTTTGTCTGGAGCCAGAATTTTAAAAGACTTGCCATTTTAGCAAATCTTGGTGCCAGAGTCCCATCTGCATATTGATTACAGATCTGTAGTTTACTTCCCAGATAATAATTTGCTAACTTTTCATTCTACTTCACACTCACTTTCCCGCTTTAAATTTTATTGGTGGGGATTTTGACACCACTTTCTCCCCTCACTATAGATATTATTGAAGTAGAACATGGAGGAAAAATGATAACTATTAATGTGTCTTTTGGCCCTCTAAATTCCTAGGCAACCAGTGAAATGTTTAGATTTAAGGTATGTTAAAGTGTAGTTCGTGAAAGCTTCTGAAACATGATATTATTTTAGTTTAAACTCTATTAACAGAAATTTTCTGCTTTGGCTGCTGCTAGCAGAAAAAATTATTAAAAATAAAAGCATCTATATTTTAGGTTCTATTATACTGTCTCAGTATTTGTAATTCAAGACACTGGGATTGGTCTCTTTTGCCTTAATTTTAAATAGTAAACACATACTATGTCTGTTTAAAATAGAAGTTTAGAAGTGAAATGGAATCTTCCACAGTATTAACAGTTAATGAGTATTAGTCATTATATGAGGAGCTCTGGTAGCATAGTGGCTAAAAGCACTTGACTGCTAACCAGAAGGCTGGCGGTTCAAACCCACCAGCCATTCCTCGGAAGGAAGTTTGGGCAATCCTACTTCCGTAGTGATACTGCCTCGGAAACCCAAGGGGGGGGTTGCTATAAGTCCTGGCCGACTCGATGGCACATAACAACAACAACAACAACAACAGTCATTATATGTAATAGCGATTAACTTTACCAAAATTATGAAGATGAACTAGATTTGATCTTTTAGAACCTTTTTATAAGTATGTTTAGGAAAAGTATTAATGTAAAAGTCATTGGATGAAAAGTTGTTGGGGAAGAGACTGTTTTGGTTACTTCATGCTGCTCTAACAGAAAATACCACAAATGGGTGACTTGAACAGACAGGAGTTTATTCTCTTACAGTTTTGGAGGCTAGAAGTCCGAGTTCAAAGTGCCATGCTCTAGAGGCTGGGTGAAAGCCCCTTAACCTTGGGTTTCAACGCTGTCTCTTGCTCCCGGTCCACTGAAGCTAGAGGCTTTTCTTCACTCAGGCAGCAACTTGCTGCTGAGGCTGACAAACTCAAGCTCAACAAGTAACAAGGCACAGTCCCAATATTATCAAACCACATGGCAGGCCATTGATTCAAGTACATTAAGAGTCCCAAGATTAGCAGACAACATGGCAGCCTGCTGAATAATGACTTGGGTACAGGCGGGATTCAAACGTGCCAAAAGCTAGAGACCATCCTCAAATATATGTATATACTGGAAGCAGACAATATCCCTAAAGTAGCTACTCAGCTGCTCCAGTAGATTCTACCATGGAGTTGATTACCAGTCTCACCATGGGGAGTAACTACATCCAGCAGCCCCCAGCCAAGTTGACATGTAAACTTAACTGCCACAGAGACTATTCTTGTCATTACAAAATTTCACTCTAGATTACTTGCAAAAATAAAGTATAGCTCTACAATGAAGAGAGCTAGCAATCGCTACCTTTAGGTGATCAAACACCAGTAATGGAAGTCAGCAATCTGATAGTTACATTCCTTGTGATATGATGCAATAAAAAATACACATCATCTATGTAATTTTTTTGCCAAAAGCATTTACTTTTTGAAACAGACAAATCCAGAACATGGGCCATTCTACAAGACAACAGCCTGTAACAGCCTGTACTCTGTTGAAAAAAGCCTACATCATGAAAAACAACAGCAAAAAGTTAGAGTAAATACTTTAGAATACATTAAAAGACAAAAGAGATAAACAAATGCAGACTGCATCCTGACTAGATTCCGGATTGAAAAAAAAATTACTGTGAAAGATATTTTGGCGACAGTTAGGGAAATTTGCTTATGGCCTATATCGTAGCTGATATTGAAATGTTAATTTTCTAAGATGTGATAATGGTACTGTGGTTGTGTAGAGTAAAGATGAATGTTCTTAATCTCAAGCAGTGGATACTAGGTATTTAAGGATGCAGACATGATGTCTGTAACTTACTTTCAGATAATTCAGAAAAAAAAGTGTATGTATACAGAGCAGAAAGCAAATTTGGCAAAATGCTAATTATGAATCTAGGTGAAAAATATACAGGTGCTTCTTGTTTTATTCTTTCAAATTTTCTGTGGGCTTAAACAGATTTCAAAATAAGAAGTTGGAAGGGGTATGTTTATAGCAGCTTTATTTAGTATGTTGTTATGTGCCGTCAAGTCGGACCCAACTCATAGCGACCCCTCCTTGGGTTGCCGAGGCATCATCACTATGGAAGTAGATTGCCCCATCTTCCTTTCGAGGAGTGGTTTGAACCGCCAGCCTTCTGGTTAGCAGTCAAGTGCCTTAGGCACTATGCTACCAGAGCTCCTTTATTTAGTATCATTGCCAAAAATTAGAAGAAATCAAAATGTCCTTAAGTAGGTAAATGGATAAAGGAATAGTGGTACATCCATACAATGGAGTAATATTTAACATTAAAAAGAAATGAAATATTCACATGTGAAAGACATGAAGGAACCTTAAGTGCATATATGCAGTATATAATGCCAAAGCTATCCAAATGAAACCCACTGCCTTTGAGTCAGTTCTGACTCATATCAACCCTACAGGAGCAGACTGCCTCATCTTTCTCCCATGGAGTGGCTGGTGGGTTCAAACTGCCAACCTTTTAGTTGGCAACCAAATGCTTTAACCGCTGCGCCATCAGAGCTCTTGATTCCAAAACTATAAAGATAATAAAAAAGACCTGTGGTTGGTGGGGGAAAAGGATGAATAGGTAAAAAGCACAGGGCATTTTAAGGGCAGTGAAATTGTTCTGCATAATGCTGTAATGGTAGATACATGACATTATTCATTTGTCAAAAGTGAGAATGTGTCAATATTGTTTCATCAATTTTTTCAAATGTTCCACACTATTACAAGTTGTTAATAAAAGGAGAAACTGTGTACAGGAGAGAACTCTGTACTTTCTTCACAATTTTTCTGTAAAACTTAAATAACTGCTCTAAAAAATAGAGTGCATTAAAAAATACAAAAGAAAAACAAAAGTTTGGGGGAGGGAAGAGTAATAGTTACTCAAACATACTTCCTGGGCTTGATTTTCTTCTAGTCTCTTGTAGTATATGTATTTTATTCTTTCAGTTTCAGGTTTTTATAGCTTTTCTTCTTGCAGTGAAAATCATGAAAAGAATTAACAGACTTAATTATAAAATGACTTTTATTCACATTCTCCCTTTTTTTAATTTAAAATTTTAAACCTTTCTTTAGAATCCATCTACCGCCGAGGTGCTCGCCGCTGGAGAAAGCTTTATTGTGCAAATGGACACACTTTCCAAGCCAAGCGTTTCAACAGGGTATATTTACTTTATTGAATGTTGACAATTGGAGACATCTATTATCTTCATTTCTAATATGAAAGAAAAGTAGTCTTCTTATTCCCTTTAAAAAATGAAATAAGTTGGGTGGCCCTATGTTCCTAGTTTGTCTGGGGTAATACTACTATTGTCCAGAGGTAATTTTTAATAACATCTTCTTTCACTCTGAAAAAAATGTTTCCAATTGGTTTGTAGTAAAACCTGTAAAAGCTGGAATCTGTGTTGGCAGAATCCCGTCAGAGAAGGGAAACACAAATATTTTCCACTAAAAGGAGAGATAAAATAAGTGGTAAGATTGCATCCTATCAAAGGTGACAACTTGTAAGACCTGGAAAAACAAGGCAGTCCCTCAAGTTCCAGCTTTCATAGGTTTCACTGTGATTATATGGTTACATAGCTTTAAGAAAGGTTTCTTTCTTTCTTTTTAAATATCTATATAAAATTCCAGGTAGCCAGAAAATGAACAATTAATGTTATAATTTTAATTTTCATTGTTTAGAAAATGATAGCAAGCACTTATCTAGCTTTTACTATGTACCAGACACTGTTTCAAATGCTTTACATATTTACTCATTTAATCCTCACAAAACCTTGTGAGGTAGGCACTATATATTTCCATTTTATTGATAAGGAAACTGAGGTATAGGGAGTTAAGTAACTTGCCCAAGATGTCAGCGACAGAACTAAGATTTGAACCTAGGCAGTCTATCTCTAGAAGCCCAGATTTTTCAACTGTTCTTAGTAACTACAAGTGTATATAGTTTAGTCTATTTTCATCCTAAAACTAATGCTACATTCTTAGTTCATTAATGTAATTTGAAGCTAAACCCTTTTCCTTCTAGTAGAAAGATTATGAAATGAAAAGACATTTTAGGTTCTTCAAGAGATCAGAGCTTTGGTTTGACCTCTAATCAGTCTGGAAAGTGTAATTTTTGCTTGGGAGTCATCCTTGAATGGTTTTCTCTGCTGTATGTTTTTCCAATTTAATTTCACTTTTCCTGCTTTCATTGTTCTTAATTATGTGAAAACTGAAAATTTTTGGACTTATGACACCATAATGAGGGAAATTGGGTTGGAGAAGAAAGCTACTTATTTTCACTATTTTATGAGTACATGTTAGGAAACAGTTGACCTTTTTTGTTAATAAAATATTGAATTACTCTCTTCAGCGTGCACACTGTGCCATCTGCACTGACCGAATATGGGGACTTGGACGCCAGGGATATAAGTGCATTAACTGCAAACTATTAGTCCATAAGAAGTGCCACAAACTTGTCACAATTGAATGTGGGCGACCTTCTTTGCCACCGGTAAGACTCAGTGGTCTTTTTTTTAAAAATAGAGCATATTTGATAACACTACTAGAATAGAGGGAGGTGCTAAGGAACTACAGCACAACAAATTTGCTGCAGATTGGTGTAGTAATTCTTTACATTGCTGTTAACATTCTGTGAATTTTGAACATATTTTACAAATAACTAGGGTAATACTGTTTTCTAGAATATAATTAACTTCTTTGTTTAACCTGCTACAAAATTCTCTGGTCTAAATTTAGAAAGATGTAGGATGAACTATTTAAGACATTTTTTTTTTCCTCTCTTCTTTAAGGTAAAACCATTAGTTTGTAGCTACCCTTCTAGCATCCATTCTCTGGAGATGCAGAGATCAGTTATGAAGGGTTAGAAGTGTCGAAATTGCGTAGTGTGAGATTCCTGGGGGCTTTTTAACATCTGAAAATTTATTTTTTTACCTTTATTTTAAATATGTAGTTAATACCTATTTAGTATAGGGATAAATAAAAAGGATTACAGATGAATTAAAGAAAAAATTCAATAAGAATCACCTTAAACTATCTAAAAATAATTATTGTTTGGTGAGTATTTTTCTAGAACTATTTCTGTGTAAATTTATAGGTATAAATATTTCAAGTTTTTCTATATGGAAAAAATTTAAATATATATAAAGGCAGATGGAGCAGTATAATGAACCCCCATGTTCCAGTCACTGTCCATAACTCCAATGGTTATCAACTCATGGACAGTCTTGTTTCTATACCTCTACCCAGTTACCTTCCCCTACCTCATATTATTTTGAAGTGAATATTTTATATTTGCCTAAGTATGCACCTCTGTATGTACTATATATATTTCAATATGTAATAATGACTAAAAACGATAAGGACTCTTTAAAAACTAACTAAAAATCAAGTTGCCTATATTAAATAGTTATCCAGGCAGTGCTTTAATTTTCAGTTGTCTTATAAATTTTTTTTAACAGTTTTTATTATGAATCAGAATCTTACAATTAAAGTTCATATCTTGCAAATAATTATTACCTCAATTAGATAGTTTTTAATTTACTGGTTTCCCCTTCATCTTTCCCTTTTCCTCTTTTTTTTTGCCCCTTACAATTTTTTTATAGAAGAAACTGGGTTTGTCATTTAGAGTGGCACAGAATTTTCCTCATTGCTTCTCCATGGTGATGTCTAATGTGTTCTTCTGCCCTCTTTATTCCCTGTATATAGTAGTTGGATCTGGAGGCTTACTCAGATTACACGTTTTTGTTTTGTGTGGAATTTTTTTTAAGATTCCTTTCATAGAAGGTGGTGTGTTTTCCATCAGAAAGCACATAATATTTGGTTGTGTTTCTTTGTTTCCCATACTTTTAAAATGAAAGTGAGATCCTATTATACACATACTGTTTATTCTAACCCATTTTTCTTACTGAACAATCTATTTTGGTCATCTTTCTATATCAATATAGATTATAGAATATATTTTCCTTATTTTTAGCACAATAGTTTATTATATGTTTATAAAAACCAATTGCTGTTGAGTGGATTACAACTCCTGGTGACCTCATGTACATTTTTATACCATAATTAATTTAACCTGTTCTCTATGATTAAATATTTGAGTTGTTTCCAGATTTTCTTATGAAGAAAATGATAATGAACTTCACAGTAAATAAATATTACTATTTCCTTAAGAATCCAGAATTAGAATTACTAGATTAAAGAATATGCATTTTTATGAAGATTTGGATATATCCTTCTAAATTGTCCTCTAAAATGATGTTAACATATTCATAGATCTTCTTTGGACATAGTGAAAGTAGATTAATATTGGTATTGACCTTTTGGTATTGGAATTATTTAGCTAGTTCATATAAATTTAGGATTGAGTTTATAGTTGTGGGGTGGGGTGGGGTGGGTGGTAAGCTATAACTTTATGACTATGATCCTTCTTGATTTTATCTCTTTCTTACTGGAATTCGTTAAACTTAGATCCAAATTAATGAATTAGTAAAAATTTGATTTGAATTAGTATTGTTCCCAAGGTTATTGGCAGTTAGTTGGTTAAGTCATTTTCTAGTAGGTATTTCTTTTAACTTACTGGGCCACTGACACCTTTGAGAATCTCCAGAAAATTGGGAAACCCACAAAAAATTGCATGTTATTTTAAGAGATTTTTAGACATGCTGAAGCCTATCTCTTGTTCTCAGCTAAATAATGTATGTTCTAGAGACTCCTTTTGCCAGGGACTTAAAGTGAGCCAAGAGCCCCCTTTAAAGGGACTCAAAGGAAGAGTAAGTAGTATAGAAGAGAAATAAGTCAGAGTACAGGAATTTCCTTTGAAGTATAATTTGATTTCTCTTCGATGGTCTAAAATTAGTTTCGTGTTGTCTTCTGTTATCTGTAGAATGTGACTAACATTACCTCATTCACAAATACAGGTTTTTGTTGTTGTTGTGTGCTGTCGGGTTGATTCCGACTCACAGTGACCCTATGGGATGTAGTGGAACTGCCTCACAGGGTTTCCTAAGCTGTTATTTTTATAGAAGCAGATTGCCAGGTATTTTCTCCTAAAGAGCAGCCCTGGTGAGTTCAAACCGCTGGCCAGGAGGGGATTACCTCATTCACAGAAATAGTGTATCGTTTCATATAATAAAATTAAATATAGTAACAAGTTACATTTCTTCAAATTTAAATTTTATTATGCTGTATCTTATTGAAGTAATGTACTTCTGGATTTGTAAAATCTATGGGAATTTTGAAAGAATTCACTGAGTTATTTCATCTTTGGAAATGTTTGTAGGAGCCAATGATGCCCATGGATCAGACATCCATGCATCCGGACCATGCACAGACAGGTGAGAATTATGATGGCACGAACTGTTGTTCATTAACAAAGTAGCACTCAAAGACTTCTTGTGATGACTCTGTTCTTCCTAAATTTTTATGGTGGTAAGATCAATCATAATACTAAACACACATAGTTGGCATTATAAAATATAACTATATAAACTGAGTTTTCTCTCATTCAGGTAAATTTTTTGAAATCTTTTTAATTCAACAAACCTAGCTTTTTTTTCAATAATGAGAAAATATACAGTTGATCTTGTGGGCCAAATATACTAATATTATGGCAATGTTCAAATGACCTGTTTTATTAAAAGCTTTATTATTAAAAGAAGAGTTTATGTAAAATATATAAAAATGCAGTCTGGAAAGTTAAACATTGATCATATGAGTTACAATGTCAAATATGTACAAAATTTTAAATACCTCTCTGGAAACATTAGAGATCAATTAAAGGAAACAGTACCCTGATCTGGGCTGAATCAGGAAAGGGAAGGCAAGAGAGGTTTTCTGGAAAGACAGAGTATGGTTTCTTAGTCTTGGAAAAAGCTGATTATCTGAAATATGGGCTTATCTGCGCTGAGTAGCTTCAAGGAATAGCCTAGTGTCTTCTCTTTGTCAGTTCTTTATTGTCCTATGTAGTAGAAGTTTGAGTATAAATGAAGTGAGTGAAAAGTCATACTAAAATAATTAAATACCGTTTATAGAGTCACCCTTATAGAAGTTGTTCAATTAATTTGTAAGGAGATATGTTTTAAAAATAGGAAAAATATTTTCTAAATCTAGTACTTAGCTTCCAGGTTGGTCCTTGCTCTCTTTTCTCCTGGGAAAGATTATAATTTGAGTCATTCTTACGTACAATTTGTTATTACTCTCAAACTACTGCCATGGAGGTGGATCTGACTCCTTGGGTTTCTGAGGCGGTATCACTATGGAAGTAGATTGTCCAACCTTCCTTCTGTGGAGTGACTGGTGGCTTTGAACCTCTAGCCTTCTGGTTAGCAGTCAAATGCGTTAGGCATTATGCCACCAGAGCTCCCTTGTTATTACTAGAACAGGTATTTAATTTTAAGTAATGAAGACATATTCAGAAGTAAAGCAAAATCAAATTGAGAGGTTTTTTTTTTTTAACTTTTTATTATAATTTGGGCGAAGACATACAGAACAAATTAGTTCATACACAAAACAATTCATACACATTTTGTTTCATATCATTGACTACAACCCCCACAGTGTAACATCACTCATCTCACTTCCTCCCTTGTGTTCAGTTTCCATCCTCCTCCTTTCCTAACCTTTCCTGCCTTCTAACTTAGTCCTTGGGCAAATGCTGCCCTTCTAATCTCGAATGGTTGATTGTTCTAAGGAATGCATACCTGCCTAGTGTTACTATTCACCTTATAGAAGTAACTGTCTCTTGTCTGGCTGAAAATTGACCCACTGGAGGGAGTTCAGTTTCAGGCCTGAAGGGTGACTAAAGGCCTTAGCCTTGGGAATTCCACCATTGTCTCAGACTAGTAAGTCTGGTCTTTTTTATGATAAATTGAGAAAATTTTTATGTCAAACTCAGTTCATGGATGCTATGTTCTTTTTCCTCTCCCCCTCACTTTTTTTTTTTCAATGTTTGGGATTGGGTTTTCAGTAATTCCATATAATCCTTCAAGTCATGAGAGTTTGGACCAAGTTGGTGAAGAAAAAGAGGTAAGATAATTTGTTTTATTGTACTGCTGTAATCTGCTTTTTAATTAAAACTTGACAGCTTAAAAATATGATAAATTGATTTTCTTAGATCTTGAATCATAGTAGTAAATATAGGAATAATTTTTAATGACTCCCAAGTTTCATTATTCTTTAATTATTTATTAAATTATTATTTAGTTTAAATTAGCATGTAATTTGATGGGATAACTTATTTTCATTTTAAGATAGTATAATCTAAAAATTATAATATATTTAAGAATAGTATTTAAAGTATTTGGTAATATTCTTTAAAATATAATGTATTATAGACCCTCTGTTTTGTGAGCTAATTGTTTATATAAAGTATAAATAATTAAGCATCTTAACTGCCACTATTTTTTTTATTAAGCATTTATTTTATCAGTCTTTAAAATAAAATCATTTTAATTAAAAATACTCAATTAAAATGATAACCAGTTTTTGAAGAAAGCTGGTAGTGGTAAAGATTACCATCCCTCACATCTCTACTACCAGTTTGACTTCTCAGAGGTAACCCTTTGTAACCATTTCTAGTTGTCTCCATAACTTTGAATAATATTTATACCCTGTTTCTCAGTGTTTCAACTTTATTTATTCCTAGCCTTGAAAGATTTAATTACTTCCCCCCTTTCTTTCTTTCCAGTGTTTGACAGATTTATTATGTTTTGCTCTTCTCTCAGTTGCCTTTTCCAAAAGAAAAAAAAAAATTATTTTTTATCATGGGAAAGTAGTAAGTAAAAGTAGGCGGAATAGTATAGAAAAAAAACATGCCTGTATCCATTACAAAAAAAATCAAACTCACTGCCATAGAGTTGATTGCAACTCATAGTGACCCCTCCTTGGGTTTCCAAGCCTGTATTTCTACAGAAGTAGATTGCCCAGCCTTCCTTCCGAGGAATGGCTGGTGGGTTTGAACCACCAGCCTTCTGGTTAGCAATCAAATGCCTTAGGGATTATGCCACCAGAGCTCCTAAAATCCAGTTAAAATACTTAGTAATACATGGCCAGTCTTGCTGCTTCTATGTACTTTTCTCACTCCTGGAATATTTTGTGGATAACCTATTTAATCTCATATTTTAATTTCTCATTCTATCAGTTGCAATCAATTTCTCATCTCCCCTTTAACCACCCCTACTGTTTTGTCCAGCTTTCCTGTTTTAGCTATGTGTATTTATTTTTACATTGCAAAGATTGTTAACATTTACGTTCTATACTGCAATTACAACCAAATCTTCCATATGTTGTTCTTAGGTTGAATGGGGTCATTTAAAGAAAGACATTCCTAATAATAAACAGTGAATTCTCTGTTTTTCTGGAACTTTCAGTTACTAGTGTTTCCTTCTGTTTGGGCCTTGACGCTCTTTCATAGCTTTTGCTTTTTTTGGAGTTTCTTGTTGCCTTTATTATTACTTTTTGTTTGTTTGAATGATTGTTTTTCAAAGACTCATTTGCCTTTATCTTCAAGATTTTTAAATAAATTTTTTAATTGAAGGATAACTACAGATGGAAACATGTACAAATCATGAGTGTATATAGCTAGGCAAAATGAGGAAATTGAAGATTTTTACCAACTTCTGCAGTCTGAAATTGACCAAACGTGGATTCAAGATGTGTTCATTATCACTGGTGATCAGAATGCAAAATATTGGAAACAAAAAAGAATCACTGGTAGTTAGAAAATATGGCCTTAATGATAGAATGATGCTGGAGATCATATGATAGACTTTTGCAAGACCAACAATTTATTTGTTGCAGATACCTTTTCAACAACATAAACGGTGGTTATACACGTGGAGTACACGGGAATAAGATTGACTGCATCTGTGGAAAGAGATGATGGAGAAGCTCAGTATCTTCATCCAAAATAATGCCAGGAGCTGACTGTGTAATAGACCATCAACTTTTCATATGCAAGGTCAAGTTGAAGTTGAAGAAAATTAAAACAAGTCCGTAAGAGCCAAAATATGACCTCGATTATATCCCTCCTGGATTTAGAGACCATCTAAAGAACAGATTTGATGCATTGAACACCAAGGACCAAAAACCAGAGGAATTGTGGGATGACATCAAGAACATCATCCATGAAGAAAGCAAAAGGTCATAAAAAAGACAGGAAAGAAAGAAAAGACCAAAATGGATGTCAGAAGACACTCTGAAATTTGCCCTGGAGCAGAGAGTAGCTAAAGCAAATGAAGAACTAACAAGATAAAAGAACTGAACAGATTTCAAAGAGCATCTCAAGAAGACAAAGTCAATTATTATAATGAAATGTGCAAAGATCTGGAGTTAGAAATCTGAAAGGAAAGAACATGCTCAGCATTTCTCAAACTGAAAGAACTGCAGAAAAAATTCAAGCCTTGAGTTGCAATATTGAAAGATTCTGTGGGCAAATATTGAATGAAGGAAGAAACATCAAAAGAAGTTGGAAGGAGTACACAGAGTCACTGTACTGAAAAGAATTGGTCGATGTTCATCCATTTCAGGAGGTGGCATATGATCAAGAACCAGTGGTACTGAAGGAAGAAGTAGAAGCTAAACTGAAGGAATTGGCAAAGAATAAGGCTCCAGGAATTGAGCCATTGAGATGTTTCAACAAATGGATACTCATCTAAAGGCAATCACTCATCTATGCCAGAAGATTTGGAAGATAGCTACCTGGACAACTGGCTGGAAGACATTCCCATTTGTACCCATTCCAAAGAAAGGTGATCCCACAGAAAGTGGAAATTATCAAAAAATATCATTAATATCACATGCAAATAAAATCTTACTGAAGATAATTCAAACATGGTTGCAATGGTATATTGACCGGGAACTTTCAGGAATGCAAGCTGGATTCAGAAGAAGATGTGGAAAGAGGGATGTCATTACTGATGTAAGATGGATCTTGGCTGAGAGCAGAGAATGCCAGAAAGATATTTACTTGTGTTTTAGTGACTATGCAAAAGCATTTGATTGTGTGGATCATAACAAATTATGCATAACATTGAGAAGAATGGGAATTCCAGATAACTTCATTGTGCTCATGAGGAACCTGTTCCTAGACCGGAATCTGTTGTTTGAACAGAACAAGGGGATACTGCATGGTTTAAAATCAGGAAGGGAGTGCGTCAGGGTTGTATCTTTGTAACTATACTTATTCAATCTGTATACTGAACAGATAATCCAAGAAGCTGGACTATATGAAGAAGAACGTGGCATCAGGATTGGAGGAAGACTCATTAACAACCTGCAATATGGAAAGGACATAACCTTGTTTGCTGGAAGTGAGATGACTTGAAGCACTTATTGATGAAGATTAAAGACTACAGTCTGCAGTATGGATTACATCTCAAAATAAAGAAAACAAAAAATCCTCACAAATGGACCAATAAGCAGCGTCACAATAAATGGAGAAAAGATTGAAGTTGTCAAAGACCTCATATTACTTGGTTCTGCAATCAACACCAATGGAAGCAGCAGTCAAGACGTCAAGACGACATATTGCATTGGACAAATCAGCTGCAAAAGACCTCTTTCGAGTGCTGAAGAGCAAAGATGTCTCCTTGAAAACTAAGGTGCACCTAACTTAAGCCATGGTATTTTCAATCGCCTCATATACATGTGAGAGCTGGACAGCAAATAAGGAAGACCAAACAAGAGTCTATGCTTTTTTGAGTTGTGGTGTTGGCAAAGAATGCTGAAACTACCATGAACTGCTAAAAGAACTAATAAATCTGTCCTAGAAGAAGCGCAGCCGGAATGCTCCTTGGAAGTGAGAATGGCCAGACTTCGTCTCACCTACTTTGGTACTGTTGTCAGAAGGGACCATCTCTGGAGAAGGATATTATGCTTTGTAAAGTGGAGGGTCAGTGAAAAAGGGTAAGGCCTTCAATGAGATGGATAGACACAGTGGCTGCAGTGATGGGCTCAGGTATAGTAGGGATCATGAGGCTGGCACAGGACTGGGCAGTGTTTCGTTCTGCTGTACATAAGGTCGCTATGAGTCGGAGACAACTTGATGGCACCCAACAACAACAGAATACAATATGTTTTTCATGACTGACTTATTTCACGCAGCATAACGTTTCCAAGGTTAATTCATGTAGTAGCGTTTATCAGATTTCATTTCTTTTTATGGCTGAATAATAATAATGTATATACTACATTTTGATTATATATTTATCTCTTATCCATTGATGGACATTTAAGCTCTTTCCACCTTTTGGCTACTGTGAATTGTGCTGTGATGAACACTGCTGTACAAGTATCTGCATTTTTGTTTTTAATTCTTTTATTTATATACCTAGGAATGGAATTGCTGGATCATATGGTAATTCTGTTCAATTTTTTGAGGAACCTCCAAATTGTTTTCTATGGCTACTATATTATTTTACAATCCTGCCAACAATGAATGAAGATTAAGGTTGTGTTTTCAACGTTCATTTATGTAATAACACATATTAGAACTTCATATTTCTTGGTGACTGAATTCTTTTTAGTCTTCTATAAGTAACCAGAAGTTTTAAGTTTCTAGTTGTCAGTGGTATAAGGCAGACTTTATCATCCCAGAGGGCCTTAGTATTCTTTGGAAAAGAATTTCTTCCATGAGTTGAACTGCCTCATACTTGTTTTCTGCTTGCAGTTTCTAAAAATGTCTCTGAATGTGTCCTTTCATAAACTCAGATTTCATATATTGAGCGTCTAGCAGACTCTTTGATCATGATGTCCCATTGTTGCTTCTGACTTACATATGAAACACCAAGCTCATTATCTCCAATAACATGTCAGTCTTTTTTTTTTTTTTTTAGTTTGATTTGCATGAAAGTTTACAGAGCAAATTGTTTTTCCATTCAATTATTCATAAAAGTTTTGATTTGTGACATTGATTACAATCCCCACAATGTAACAGCAATCTTTCTATTTTCTTCCTGTGGTTACTGTTTCCATCGCTCTTTTTTCCTATTCCTTCCTTCCTTGGGAGCTTTTTACCTGGGCAAATA